GGCCATCAATGGGATGTCGGCCTGGTCCGCGCGTTCAATCCACGCAGTTTCCAACTCATCACGCGCCTGATCATAGCGATACCCATCCTTCGGCGCCGCGCCATACCGATCTGGAAAGATGTCCGTGCCGCCTGTCAAAAGCAAAGCATCGGGCACCCTGTCGGGTTCTGGCAGTTCTGCGGACAGGGCCACTGGTCGAGCGCCCCCCAACCAAACGCCCATCCATAACCATAAATTGTTGATCGATAAGCCGTTGCCCGAAACAGTTATACCAACAGACGGCTTGATTTGATCGGTCATGCTTTGAGCTCTGGCGGCAGCTCGCCATGTTCCAATAGCGACCCCAACACGAAAAGAATGCCAAGCCCAATCAAGGGGTCATCATCCTCAAGACCCGCAGTTTCAACGGCTTCAACATCGGCTAAGTGCTTTTTCAGCGCTTGAAAAGATTGGCGCAAGCCAAGCCCGGTGTTGGGGTTGCTGGCAAAAGCTTTGAGCGCATCTGCGATGTTACCGGACTTCAGTTTCTCCAACAGAGCAGCGTTGTTTTCAGAAAGCGCTGCTGCGTTGGTGTCGGACTTGGCTTTTTCCAGGGCTGCCAGCAACCAAAGGCCAGGCAGCTTGGATTGATGGCCGATCTCCGGGCGCGGCATGTCGCTCACGGTCCCTGAGACTGTTTGCTCATACAGCATCCATGGAAAATCGACCCCTGAACTGATCGAGTGATCGAGATTTGCCCAGAATCGTGGATTAAGTTCGATCATCTGTGGGGTCTCATCGGGCTTGCCCGTCCACATGAAGTCGATTTGGCCGACACCCGTCCATCCCGCGTCACCGACCAGCGTTCGGGCAGCTTCTTGGAATGGCGCATGATCTATGGTTTGGCGAACCACGCCCGCGCCATATTCAGCTGGGTAGCTCATCAGATTGCGGTAGGCCATATCGGCAACGATCTCGCCATCCTGGGCGAGGAAGCAGTAGCAATAATCATCGCCCTCGCTCAGAGCTTGAACCACCGGTGCACCAGGAAACTCATCTTTCAAGGTCTGCCAATGCCGGCCCAGCTCTTCCACCGAGTCGACCTTACTGATGCCACGCCCTCCGACGCCGTCGGCAGGCTTGATGATGCAGGGAAAGGAAAGGGCATTAGCCGCGTCGTCCAGATCCTCCTGCGTGTCGCAAGCAAAGGACTTCGGTGCTGGCAGATCGAGGCGATTGACTGTGCGCGCAAACGCATCTTTCGGGTGCACTGCATCGATGGACGTTTTGCGTGGCAATGCCACTTTGATCAGTGGTGAGAAGCGATCTGCGTGCTCGGCAATTAGCTGTGTCTCATTGAATATCGGCATAAGAACATATGGCCGATCATCGTCTGGCGCGTGCTCGCGGATAATCGCTTCCAGATCATCCAGAAATGCCTCCGGATCATCGGAAGCCTTTGCATGTTTGGCGCTTGTGGAGGCCCATTTGGAGANCGAGAGACCGGGCAATGGCAAGCGCCATCAGTGAGCGTCCATAGGTGACGATGACGCGGCCTTTGGTCGGATTCATGGTGATATGCCTATCTTGTGGGAAGCCGCTCATACGGCAAAACCGGTACTGCCTAACGCGCAACGCAGGATTTGGTTCCAATCGAAGGTGTTGAGCTGAGTCCGGTGTCGTTTGCCGATGCTCTGATCCCCAAAAAGGAGGAGGAAACTTGTCTCAGGTCACTGGAATACTAGAACTTTGGCAAATCAGCCAGATATCCGATGGACGCTTGCGGCCATTCGATGTCCTCATCTCATCACGGTGAACGCTTCCAATGCATTGCCGTAATCATATCATGTACGCGCACCAGCAGATCTGACTCATCACTTGGCTCCACAGGATGTGCACTTAATGCCCGGCAACGCGCTTCGCATGGACTGCATAACAAAAGGGCATGCTTGCGCAACCGCCTAAAATAGAGGCGTCATCGCCTCCTATTCCAAACGCTATCAGGTTCAAGAGCCTGCCTAGGCGGGCTTCTCGAGAACTGGCACGATTGTTGATTAGAGATACGCATGTGCAGCGGGCGTCTAGGGTTCCGGTTATTTGATTTAGCAAATGATGCAGGTCCGAGAGATGCCAACCGGCGACCAGGTCGGTGAACACGGCGGGACAAAATCCCGGGAGATAACTGCACAGGTTTGCGCGCGCGAACCTTCTCCCGGTGTGCG